GTCGGCTTGACAGTCGCCTCGTTCTACATCTGGCGCCTGGTCAGATGTTTCACTAAGGAGCACCCTTTGGGAGGAGCCGTCTGAGTTTGATATCATAGCAGTCTTTTTTGTTCTGGCCATCACGTTCTACATAGACACAGATACAGTCGGACTTTGTATAAAGAGCAAAGATGGGTCCAGAAAAGGGCAGGCGGCACTCCTAGTCCTAGATTCAGCCGTCCCCGGTGACCGGCTGATCACTAACTTAGGTCGTGTCGTGTGCTTCCGTGGTGCCATTTCAAAAAATAAAAAGAAAATTAAGAGTAAGAGAACTGAGTTACCTGAACGAGTGACGGTTGATGAAGTCCTGGAAGTTCGGGTCAGTCGGCTTGTCAGAACAGGCGGTAGGCAGAAAAAGTCCGAAATGTCAGAGCAAGTTCAGGGGTCCGAATGTTCTCGCAAAGTTCTCAAATGTGAAAATGACCGAAGTCAGCACTTCCTTTTATAGGCAAAGTGAGAAGGCGAAGGGTCGCTTCCAAATTTCAAAATTTGGGCGGGAAAATCTCTCGGCCGTTTGCAAGGAGACACCTGTAACAGGCCGTCGCCTGTCACCGTGCGACACCTGTCACAGGCGACACGTGACCAGTCACGTGCCACCTGTGAGGGGCAAATGATTAGGGGATTTTTATCCACCAATCACCGTCTGACAAGTGGACCAACCAGGTTCCGCCACGTGTCCTTCACGAAGGCCAACAGGAACCTGCCACGTGTCAATCACAGATACGTCCTCTACGGACCAATTTAGACACGCCACGTGTCCACCCATGCCAAATGGGAAAACCGGCCATCAAGGCCCAATCCAGTCTAGAGGCCCGATCAGCCCTAGGTTTACCTTAAACCTAGAGAGTTGCACGCTTCTCAAGGCTATAAATACTCAATTTATCCTCATTAATCACAGGATCGAAGAATCGAATAATCAAGAGATCAAGCAGAGAAGAACAGAGTTATTAACAACCGGCTAATCTCGCTAACGACGCAGATTAACAACACTAAGCACTCTCACCTAGAGAGATCTCATTACTTTAATTTCCGTATTGTTTACTCCTTAATCAGGTACTAACTTGACCGTTGGAGGCGGAGCTCTCAGGAGTCTCCGTTATTTTGCAGGTACAGGCGTCCGGTTCCAGTCTCGGAATTGTAACTCTCCCGCAGGACATCAGAAAACCCCGAAACACTTCCTATGTTCTTCCTAATACTTATGATTGTTAGTATCATGTTAGGGTTAAAGTTTTGATTTTTATTGCTTAGTAACATGCTATGATTTGTTATTAATCTTGTTAGTATCATGCCTAGGATCTTGCTATTATCATGCTTTAATATTAACATGAACATGATTATGATTATAATTGTTATAATTTATGATGATTATGAATATTATTATTATTATTATCTTGATGATGATTATTTTATTTATGATTATTATTGTTTTGATTATGATTATAATTTTATAATGATGATTATTATTATTGTTATGATTATTTTATGATGATTATTTATTATGTTGCTTGATATTTATTGTTATTGCTTGATCACCTTTTTATGCATGTTTAAAGGGAATTGGTACTTGTAATCACGCTTAATATGATAATTAATAATCTTGTTAGGGTTAATATGATTATAATTTCAAGTGATCGCCAATAATAGTTTATTTATGCATTAAATTCAACCAACATAGATAAACAGGTTTAGGGTTAATCCTATTGATTGCATGTTAATTAAAAAGCGCACATGAATACGATCAGAATAAAGTAGAGGCCTATTATTAGGGCAGGTTCAATCTCTTTTAGGTTGGATTTGTACTTTCATCCCTGAACCCTTATTTGGTTCTAGACCTTATGGAGTTGACGATCTCTTAGATCGTTAAGGGGTGTAACCTTCACCCTGTGAATGATTTACAAATTCCTAAAACTTATTGGCGACTCTTTTACTCTATCTTCTTCCCTTTTGGACGCCACCGTACTTTAGTGTATGATCACAGTGGGTTCAAGCTAGGGGTTTAACACTTGAAATTATTCCCTACACCAGGTTTAAATGGTTTTTGGTTTAGAATGGGTCAAGTTACTATCAGGTTTAGAACTAATTGCTTCGGGTTGTTTTTAGTTTCGAGTTGTAACAATTTAGTTTAGTGTTGAGTTAGAAAAATTGGGTCAGGTTGGTTTTCGATTTCCAAAAAACAGGATTTTAACGGTTCAGTTCCTTTTCGGATCGGTTCGATACAATCGGGTCTAACAATTCGGGTCAGAAACTGACAGCTCTAGGAATTGACTATCAATATTTTCCCTATAATGACAAGATGTTAAAATCGACCACAAATTATTGTTACTACTCCCTCAGTCTCATAATATAGTTCCTATTTTTCTATTTTGGAGATCCAAAATGTTGTTCCTATTTCTATTTTTGGATAGTATGAAAAGACTATTATATCCTCACTTTTTTTAACTTTATTTATTTATTGCACTTCCTGAATTGCCCTTAGATTTTGCACATGTCGTATACTTTTTTTCTTTACTTTCTCTCTCTAGCTTTTGTCTATGATTATATTTTTCACTATTATTAATGTATTTCATCCACTTTTTCCTTATAATTCTTAAATACAGTGAAAAAATACAAATAAGAGCTATATTATGGGACGGAGGAAGTACTTTAAAATGTAAGGTGACATTTACATAATACTCCCTCCGTTTTTAAATACTTGCTTCATTTTCCTTTTCTGGCCGTTTTTAAATACTTGCTCCATTTCCTTATTCGGAAAACTTTTATTATATTTAATTAATTTCTCTCACCAAGTGGACCCAACAATATTAATTCCATTTTGTCTCTCCTTCAATTTTCTCCACTACTTTTGGTTTTTTACAATTTTTTATTCAAAATAATCCAACTTTTCAATTAACCCTGAATATTCCTAAATTTAGAACAAACTTTCCCATAGCAAGAATCAATTAATACAATTGAAAGAGAGTGAAACCTAATCATCAAGAAGTGAGCTCTAAATCCGAATTAACCCAAAAGATGAAGTGGTTGGAGCACAAAAAAAAACATGTAAACTAAAACAATTTAACAACTATGTACACATTAATATTTCATTAATTTTAATATATACTTCCTCCGTTCTTTTTAACTTGATCTGCTTTAGATTTTACACTATTCACCACATATCCTTTGATCGTTTTTTGTGAATAATATATAAGAAAAATTATATTTATGTGGGATCTTTTTGAATTCGTCTCAATAAGTACTATCATAATATTTAGCTTTTATAATTTTTACTTGTCGAAAATTAAAGTTATTGATCGTTAAAATTTTGCATTGCATGCATGATAAAAGAAACAAGTCAAAAGTACAGAGAAAGTAATTAACACAATATGCTACTCGCATTGAGAGGAAAAATACAAAGCCATTATACTTGACTACTACCTCTGTTTTTTAAGTTAACACATTTTGACTTTAACACTATTTACACACTTCTCTTTGACTGTGTTTTGTGATATATATATGTAATTAAAAATATAGTCAGGTGGGTCTTGTTAGATTCGTCACGATATAAATTTCCAAAATATCATTTTTTTTTAATTTTTTCTTTTCAATAAATAAAGATATTAACAGTTGAATATGTGCATTGACAAACGTAATTAAAAAATCGTCTCAACTAAAAAGTAACGGAGGAAGTACTTCCTCTGTTTTCTTTTAGATGCAACACACCATTTAGCGTGGTAATTAAAAAAGGTGGGGTTTACATGATATAATAAACTTTAAAATAGGATGAGTGGCTGTTAGGAGTGTAATTTAGTGGGTCATGTGCTTTAAATAACGAAAATAGTATAGTTTTTCCTAAAGTAACTTTCCTTTTATAGTGTGTTGCAAGTAAAAGAAAACGGAGGAAGTATTATTTAGCTTTTCAAAAGAGTTTTGGATAAATTAGTTTAACGATCATATGTATTTACGATTTTAGGGCCTGTGCAAATGCACTCATTATGGCAAAATCCCGCCATATAAATAATGGTCATTGACAATGACTTAGAGTATGTAACTTTAAAAAATAAATATATAAATTTATTGAATGTATATCCTTAAATTTCTTGTATGTTACATAAATAATTTTTTTTATATTTTAAAGTAATTTCAATTTTTTTTATACAAATCTAATCTAATCTAATATATATTATATATATAAAGGGAAGTTTTTCCCCGAGTTTTTAGAGAGCCACATAGGATTTTAATTTTCTTAGCGCGCCATGTAGGATTATGAATTTAGTTGTAGCCAATTAAATAAGAGATTATTAATTTATTTTACAATTAAATAGTTCAAATGTCACGTTAGCAAAATTGACGAATGAAATTTTAAAGTTTAAATTAATTAAATATAAAATATTATCTTTTAAGATTAGGAATTTTATCTAATATTTTAAAACTAATATAATAACAATTTTAATTACATAAATATGAAAAATATTTTTTGTAAAAAAAATACTAACAAAACGTGCATTTCTTAGTGAGTTAGTGCATCATGTAACATTATAAATTTTAGTAGTAACCAATTAAATATGAGATTATTAATTTCTTTTAGAATTAATTAATTTAGGTCCTGCAAGCAAAATTGGCAAATGATATTTTTAAGTTTAAATTAATTAAATATTAAACATTATCTTTTGATATAAGGAATTTTATCTAAATAAACTCCGTATAACAAATTTTAGCACATAAATACCCAAAAAAAAAAAAAATCAAACAAACCATAACTGTGCTAAGTAAGTGTCTTATTTGGTGATTACTTTAGTATATGGTATAGATAGATGATAGATACTTGATGAAAAAAAAAATACTACATAGTTATTTTATATTGGAAGTCATTTCGACACATAAGTTGTTTTTTTTTCTAACAATTATGCAATCAATAGGGCCAGAGTTAAATTTTAGCATGTGCAAGTCAATAAGAATAATAAACTTTAAAAAAATCGTATGAGTAATAATAATGAAATACCACAAGGTCAGTGGTTGGGTCAGTGTAAGGAAAAAAAAAAAGAGCATGATCAACTCTCGAGCTTTATACAAGATCATTAATTCAAATACAACGCCATAAACAAAGGAGGCACAAGCTATAATAACTAATCTATTTGAGGGTGTTTTAGAATAATAATGAACAAAAAACACTACCTCAACATATAAAGATTAGAAAGGGAAAAAAAAAAAGCTACGAATTATCATACGGTGTATAAGTTAACGGGGTCAAAATTTGGACACGAGTGAATACATTACAGATCTCTTCGGCACAAGGGGCAGGAAGCATGCCTCATCAACCACTTATCGATGCAAGGAAGGTGAAACAAGTGATGACAATCGGGTAAACTGCGAGCTGTTTCGCCAATTTGGAAATCCTGAGTACATTTAAAAGGAAATTTGTAAACGTTGTTTTACAATTGAAGCCAAGAATCTAATCTAATCAGAAAGATTACAAGCCCGTACCTGAAGACAAACGGAACAGGAAACTCTTTCTCCTGAAGCATCTTTATTGTTCTTGTTTGTAATATTGATCTTAGGTATCTTCTCAACTAAATCTCCTGGTAAACCCTTCACGCAGCCCGTGTCAAAGATATTTGTGACTTCTTCAAAGTTTGTTTCCGTAGCACCCATCTAATGCAAATAGCAAATGAATACAATTAGATCTCATCAAAATCAGTAAACCATCGTTGTAAAAGGATACACAGTATTATACAACTTGCTAACACAAAAAAACCGCATAATTACCTGACTCTGAACTGCACTCAGCATCGCAGGACCAATTCGTTCACGAACAAGCCTTCCACTCAAAAGACTCGCAATGACATCAATCTGCAAAGTCCATAGAAAATTATTCATACAAAGCATAAATACATAACATTAAACAAAGATGTTTGTAAGAAACATTGTAACACTTTGCTATAAGTGTAGACAAGGAAACAAGTCCAAAATTCAAACTCGGCCATTTTAATGAAACCCATGTTAGAATAGCAATTACCCAGCCCACCTACTAGTGGTTAAAAGCTTCACAAGAAAAGTTATCACACAATTGAAGTGACAAAAAATAAATTAACCAACACCAACCAAAAAAACTGATTGAATTTATCACTATTACTCTGCTCCAAACCACTAACCTAACTTTTTTAAAACCAAATATGCACAAGAATGCAATACCGTAACAGTCCATTGCACAATGTTCTTGTTTTGATCTCATAACACAAAATAATTATTGTTGTTTTGCTACTAGTTATTATAAGGCTAACTATGTCATCATAATAATGCATACAAATTCAAAAAAGTAGCAGAAACCAAATCAATTAAGCAGCAAATAAACCTCTCATACCAAGTAAAGAAGGCAGCCAATGCCGGATTCATCCGATCGCCAAAGAACAACGGACGATTCGAAAACCTCGATTGAGAAAACAGCACCAGAGATAGCCCCAATGGCAGCTCCTCTTACAAATCCACTCTCTGTCTCTTGGCCAATTAAAGCACCAGTCATGGCTCCCAAAAGTGTTCCAACTGCATCATAAACCATTACATAAATCACATAATTCCCTTTAATCTTCTTCTACAAGAAATTTAACTACTTAACTAAAATCTTCCTGCCAAATCCAATACAAAAATAAAAAGGAAAAAAATAATAAAACGCGTAATTTGACTACTTCATCTAATACCATAATTGAAAGTGATCAGACAAAAATACACAATAAATCAAGTCAAATCTAATGAAATCACACCATAAAATAATATTTCATTTTAAAAATAATTATGGAACAAAAATATCTAGATTTCCCAGAACCCCAAACAAAGGCATAAATACCAGATCAATTAAAATACAGTATCTAATACAGATAAAAATGAGATACCCAACAATCAAATTAACAACAAAAAGAAAATTAACGCAAAACCCACATCAAATTATGAACAAAACAACAATAAAATCAAACAAAAAATGGCAAAATTGAGAGAAAAATCAAACCTAAAGCAAAACAGAATGTGAAGAAGGCAGAGAAAAGACTTCCAAGAGTCACAGAGACAGCAAAACTTAGGGTTCCACGAATTTTTTCGCCCAAATTACATAAAATTGAAGAAGATGAAGCCATTTGTTGAGATGGGTAAGAGTAAAATTCCATTTTAAAGATTCCCGAGAAACAGTTATTTACTAAACACTAATCGATCGATAAGGGTTTATAATAATAATTAAATTTAGGGATTTATAAAGAAGAAATGAAGAGGAAAAATCAGAAATCTTAGTAGCTAAGGGAAACCTACGTCCACCAACTCGAATTTATAGCCTCTCTCAAAATTGAAATCTATTAGCCTGGGAATTTATGAGGGTATCGCTTTCATTGACACGAGAAAAGAAATAGAAAGAGAAACGTTCAAAGAAATAGGGATTTGGGATGAATTATTCTATTATAAATAAATAAAATATATAGGGTTTTTCTAAGCTATACCCCTAAGGTATACGAGTTTCTAAGGTGTACCCAAGCTTTTTCAAGTTTCTAAGTTGTGCCCCTCAACTCACTACCATTACTGAATGGTACCCTCCTTAAGACTTCCACGTCACCTAGAGTTAACTATAAATTTAATAGAAAGATGATAAAAAGGTAAGGAAATGATAGGAGAAAGAAATCTTAGTCATCGCAACCCTAATAATGAAAAATGGTGCCACGAAATCACACTCTCAAATAACTTTTAAACAACTAATAAAGGTACATTTTAGTATTGATAAGAAGCTGAAGGGCATAGCTTAGAAACTTGAAAAGGCATGGGTACACCTTAGAAACTCGAATACCTTAGGGGTATAACTTAGAAAAACCCAAATATATATTTGTATTATTGTATAAATGAATAATTATGAGTCTTATTTGGGTTAGCTGAAATATATAGAGATTGTTGGATTGGATGTTATAGCACCTATTTTGGAGCACCGATCTAGTATATATGTGTCTGGACTTGAGATATGGTAACTACTTAGATAGATGGCTACGTTACAAGCACCTCTACTAAATTGACCCTACTCTCTCGGGGATTATTTGGTTAAGGGGTTGTTTGGCAATCAGCGGTTGGTTGTTGGCTGTTGGCTTGTTTGACAAGTTGGAAGTATTAGCTGTATGGGTTGGCTTTTTAAGTTATTGTATGTAAGCTGACTGTGTTTCAAAAGTTGTTGGTAAAATTATTAATGATTGTTAGTTGTTTATTAGTGATAAAGTGGGCCAACAAGCTAAAAGCCAATAATAAAAAAAAAACTACTCTTATTAACTTTTGGCTTTTGGCGGAAAAGCTAGCTTAAAAGCCAACAAAAAAGTCAACTACCAAACATATTTTTTGGCTGTTTGACCAAACTTAAAAGCCAAAAGCCAAAAGCTAGTTAAAAAGCCAATTGCCAAACAACCCCTAAATCTTTTGAAATTAGTTGAAATTAATCTCTAAGTATTTAAATAAATGAAACATTTTTTTTCTGATTATACGGAGTATTAAATAAATAAAACGTTTTTTTTTTATGTATCTTTTATTGTTCTCCACAAAACCCCTTGCTCTCATCTCTCTCCTCAACTTATACCCCACTACTTATTATTTTAATAAATTCAACTAATCTTTCCTAAAATTCCATAAAAGTCAAAACTTTTCATTAATTTAAACATAGAGAGAGTATAATCTATTTCATTCATTTTCTTATCTAGTTAGAATTTTTAGGTAGAAATCTCATATTAAGAGGACTTTAACTTTACATCTACCTCATTTGAATCTCATTACTTCACTATCTATTCCATTAATGAATGTTTAGATAATTCCATCAAATAAACGAAATAACATCATACTAGTTAGAGATTTAGAATCCATACCACTCTAATAAGATTTCATATATTAGCAAACCAAACGATCCCTAATGAGGTATTGAGTTAGTAGTTCAAACTGAGAGCATGTATATATTAGGTATTTAGGTTACATGCTTGAATCTCCCACCTTCATTGGTAGCTTTTATTTCTCGTGATTCATTCGGATAAAATAAAAGTTTGTTGTTAAACTTAGACTATCATTTGTAATTAGGCTTTGTTTAGTTCGATTTATTTTGTATGAAATTATTTATTTGACTCGTCCTCCTGACTCTCAAGTTCCAGACCAAGTCTGGAAGGTATATGTGGACGGAAGCTCTACTTCAAATGGTTGTGGAGCAGGCGTCATATGTCAGTCGCCAGAGGGCGACAGGTACGAGTATGCTTTACGCTTCAGTTTTCAGGCCTCAAACAATGAAGCAGAATATGAAGCTTTACTAGCCGGAATCCGCATGTGCAAGGCGGCAGGGGCAAGAAAAATAGACGCCTGTTCCGATTCACAATTGATAGTGAGTCAGTACAATGGCGAATACGAAGCAACCCATCCGGCCATGATCAAGTATTTACAGGCGGTCCGACTAGCAGTCGGCTCCCTTGAGGATTTCCATCTGATCCAAGTGCCGAGATCAGAAAAAAACCAGGCGGATGCACTTTCAAAATTAGCATCATCCGCCTCCTGTGATACTCCTCGAACTGTTTTTTGGGAAGTAATGGTTAGGAGAAGCATTGAGGAAGAACCTATTGCAATCCTAGACAGAAGCTCAACCTGGATGGATCCAATCAGGGCATATCTGACAAATGGTACCCTGCCGGATGATCATCAACAAGCGGCAGCACTGAAAAAACGAGCAACCAGTTTTGAAATAATAAAGGGAGAACTTCACAAAAGGGGGTACCTTCAACCCTTCTTAAAGTGTGTTACTCCAGAAAAGGGACGAGAGATTCTCTAGACGATCTTCACTCTGGTTACTGTGCTTCCCATATAGGCGGTAGGACGCTTGCTCAACGGGCAAGGCGGCAGGGCTACTTTTGGCCTACCTTAGAAGCAGATGCGATGGTGATGGTGAAAAAGTGTGACAAGTGCCAAAGGTTTGGCAAACTAATTCACCGTCCGGCTACTGACCTCACTACTATTCATAGCCCACTACCGTTTGCTAAGTGGGGCATGGACATTCTGGGTCCATATACGCCTGCTACAGGCGGAAGGAGGTACATACTTGTTGCCGTCGACTACTTCACTAAATGGGTAGAGGCGGAGGCTGTAAAGGGAATCAAGACGAAGGATGTAATTTCATTCATTTGGAAAAATGTCATCACTCGGTTCGGGGTTCCCATGTCTATGGTTTTTGATAATGGTCCCCAATTTGAGACGCATGTTCTCAAAAGTTGGTTGGGTGACCAAGGAATTGCACACTACTTTGCATCTGTCGGCCGTCCACAAGCAAACGGCCAGGTAGAAGCCTTTAATAAAATCATCTCAGACGGTCTTAAGAAAAAGATTGAACGAGCAGGCGGCCTATGGGCGGATGAATTACCACATGTTTTCTGGGCCATTAGGACGACTGAAAAAGGGGCGACTGGAGAAACTACATTCCTCCTAACTTATGGTGCGGAAGCTGTTCTTCCAATAGAACACTACGAGCCGACTCTTCGAGTAATGCTATATGACGAAGAGGCAAACTGGGAAGCCATGCGCCTGGCATTAGACTCACTTCCTGAAAGGAGGGGCAATGCTGTCTTGCGCCATGAAATTTACCGCCTGAGAATGACTAGATCATACAACAAAAAAGTACACAGGCGTCGACTCAAAGTGGGGGACTTTGTACTTAGAAAAATGGAAGCAGTTGGTAGGGCTAATGAGTCTGGCAAACTAACTCCCAACTGGGAAGGACCCTACCGAATCTGTGAAGAGGTCAGGGACGGTACCTACCGGCTGGAAACACCAAACGGACAACCGTTGCCTCGAACTTGGAATGTAGATAATCTTAAGAAATATTTCTTTTGAATGATATAAATAATCAAGGGCTACTTAATAAAAGTTTGCACTTAATATTCAATTTTGTACTAAGAGGGGCACGCCTACTAACAAATAGTCGGCTACTCTCCATGTTTAAATTCTTACTTAAGAGGGGCACGCCGTCTGTACCTTTACAGTCGGCTACTCTCCATTGAGTATTTTACTCTATCTTCAGAGGGGCATGCCGCCTGTACCTTTACAATTGGCTACTCTCCATTGAGTTTTACTCTATTTTCAGAGGGGCATGCCGCCTGTACCTTTACAGTCGGCTACTCTCCATTGAATATTTTACTCACAATAGGGGCATGCCGTCTGGACATAAAGTCGGCTACTCTCCATAGAAGAGGGCCGACTGGTTCCAAACACACAGCCACCCCCCTTATACTTAGCTAAAAAAGATTAGGGCCTGGCCGACCCTGTGCCTAACAGGCGGCTACCCTCCTTTTACTTAGCACCTACGTTCACCAAGAACTAACCAAAGCCACAGGCCGAATGATCAGACCAGGCGCCAAGCCAACTGATCAAATCTTCAAAACTAATACGACATGTCCCAACATCATAGCAGGCGTCCGGCGGCATCCCTCCGGATGAAATTTGTCGCAGAGAGCAGCTCCCTTTTGGGTGGAACATTGCTCTATAAACTAATTACACGGCACCTATACGACTGTCCCCAAGGGCAACCACGTAGCCGTTTTTGAGACAAGGATAACTCTATCACTAACCAAACCAGTGGTAGCAGTTGACATCTGAGTCAGATGACCGCCTGTATTACTTGGGACAAATGCAGGGGGTACCTCTTGAGTTAATAGCCAACAAACATTGGCGAAACAAGGGGTCTAGCCGGCCTCCGCCGCCTGGTACCTCTACTTCTCAAGCAAGAGTGACGGCGACTGAGTAACACCAACGTTAACTCATAGTCACTCCCTCAAACTTAGTATGGAACCTAAAAGGTTTGAGTAGACCGCCTGTTTTTTGGCAAACAGGGGCACTCAAACCCCTATTCCTACTAGGTAACCACTCGGGTTAATAGCCAACAAACATTGGCGAATCAAAAGGTTCAGCCGGCCTCCGCCGCCTGGTGCCTTTACTACTCAAGCTACAGTGTGACGGAGACTAAGTAACTCCTATGTTTACTTTAGTCACTCCCTCAAACTTAGTATGGAGCCTAAAAGGTATGAGTCGTCCGCCTGTTTTTAGCAAACAGGGGCTCTCAACCACTACTTCTGCTAGGTTAACAACCTGAGTTAAAAGCCAACAAACATTGGCGAATAAAGGGGAACAACCGGTACCAACCGCTTGATACCTCTACTACTCAGTTACTTGGCAACTAGGTAACAATCATGTTTACTTGGTCAAACCACTTTCCTACTTGGTAAATTTTACAAATGACAGGACCGCCTGCCTAAAGATATCTAGTCTTTAAAATGGTTCGAATACCGATTGGATAAATGGCCGACTGATCGTCTATCCTGGAAACAGACAACCAGTCGTCCAGGGGCATAGGCGGCGTGAC